TATGGAAGAAGTGCATGCACAGCAAACGAACAAGTGTCTCACCTTCCCGAAAGACGGAACTCCAACCAAAGGTCGGATGAGTTTTTCTTCCCGGGTTTATGAAATTTTGGTTTCCCCAAAATTTGCAAACACTTCTTTCATGCATGTTCTTTTCCAGAACCCACGAACCGTCATGTGACCAACTTGGCACACTGTTCTTTCCGAACTCACGTTTTGTCATGTGGCCATTTTGGCACAAGATCATCTCTTTTTCGCCCACCCTCCACACCCTTGCCTTTTCGGCTTGGCCTTTCAGGGTTGGGGGGAGCAAATGCCTAACCCTAGCCGTTGGGGTCTCGCCAACTTGTTCCGCACTTCGTCCGCCCATGCTAAAATGAAGAAGAGCGAGTGACTGCAACTTTCTGTCTTTATATATATTCGATGGCTGTCTATCGTGCCGAATTTTTTTATTATTGATTGTTATATATTTGATGTTTGCAAATAAACCCGAAGGAATAAAGCAGTAAAAGCCAAAAGCCGTAAAGCTAACACCGAAGTCCAAAACTTTACGTAACCCCACAAACGAGCTAAACCCTAAGCCCAAGATGAGAGTGACGATAGTTCATGACCTGTGAGCCAGAGCAGTTGTGGGTAGCTTTCTTTGGCCGGTTTGAGTCTGAAAGCCTGTAGCCGGAGCAACTATTTGTTATCATTGTAGCCTCTGTTGGATGCTGTTCATAACTGCAAAACTAGCAGGGCATCCCAAAATATCGCAGGGTCGTGCCATTTGTTTGCTTTCCAGACATGTTGGGGAGTTTTGGGAAGGATGGCATGTAGCCATCTTAGCATTGGACGCGCGCTTTCGGCTCACTGGCTTTGCTTGAACACGTTGCACTCTCCTGTGCACGAGTGTCCTGTGCAACTGTTGGTCCATGTTGTTTTTTTGACCCGTATCCATTCTGTATCTTGACAAACGATCGAACAAATCCACACGTCCGTCTCACAAGTGGCGGCCGTGCTAATTTCCCCAGCAATGCTTTGCCAATGTTTTTAACGCCACAGATAGTGTTGAGTTCTTTTCAGTACCTTTCGTGTGAACCTGTAAATTCCCATGTTGTTCTCGTAGCAACTTTGAGCACACACCACGCTGCTTTTGTTTACTTGTTTCGTTCTCGATGATGTCTGTTGCGGTTATGCTTCGAAGTAAGTTGGTCAAACGTAACTGAAGAAACATGTGAGTGGTGTAACCGGGCCGCTGCAACCTGAATAGCGGAGATCTACAGAAGATTATGGAACCTTGTGCCGTGCCATATAGAATATGTAGTATGTCTTGGATAACAGCATGGTAGATATATCACATTGTAGAGTACGTAGTGACGCAGTCCAGTATTGCACAAAAAACCACGTTGCAGCTATGGCTATGGGCTGATCGAGTCATGTGGGAGCTTTTGTGGCCTTTGCAAGGGGTGCCTGTTTCCAGACCCTTAAACCCTAAACTCCTAAACCCCTAAACTAAACTCCTAAAC